TATGACGAAATTTGTCATTTTTAGTTAACGAGCTATTGGAACTCTCCCCGGAGTGTGGATTTAAAAAACTAACTTAAACTGATGAGGTTTTAAAAGTTCAAAGTAGGTTTTGGTTGATTTGGTCCTCGGAATATTGTCGGATCATCATTCAATCTTAGTTACTTAGCTGGCTTGTGACAGAACGATTGTTCCTTATGCAGTCTTGTGCGCATTTCATCCAATTTAAAAGACCATGTTCCGAGATGTTGTCTTCTACTTGACCTTTCTATCGGATTCGTGTCCATCACTTGGCTCGCTTTTATATGCCTTTTGAGTGGGGGAATCCTCATCCATTCTCACAACATGGCCTAGCCAATGTAGTCGCTGCAGCTCGATTTGTCCGACTATGTCGCTGCGTCGATGCATAGTAGCCTATAGATCTTCCGAAGCATTTTCCTTTCAAACTCTCCAAGAGCTGCCTCATCTGCGCAAGTACCCATGCTTGTGATCCATATAACAACACGGGTAATATCAGCGTCTTGTAGAGTGTGAATTTGGTCTGGCGAGGGGTGGCCTTGCTTTTGAGCTGCTTACTCAGACCATAGTAGCATATGTTGGCCTCCGGAATTCAAAGCTGATGTTATTAGTTTTGTTTATGGCGGTACTGAGGTATATAAAATCGTCCACTACTTTGAAGCTGTAGTTTTCAAGTTCCACAGTTGGTCCGAGTCTACTGGAAGGGCTCCGAGATGTCCTTTCCGACTTTAACTTTTGACCTTGAGCCACTTAAAGTAATCCTTCAGTCGTTCTAATTCCTCTATAGTTGGCACATATCGTCTTGTCTCTCTTTTTGTGCACGGGACACAGGATGTTGACTTTCCAGTCATTAGACCCTTTTGCATTGTTAAACAGGTCACCAAATTCTGTCTGAATAAGCTGGTGCTTAATAAGCCTTTCCGACTTTAACTTCTGACCTTGTGCCACTTAAAGTAATCCTTTAGTCGTTCACATAGCACGCTATCTGTATCTGACACCAGGTTTCCATCTTCATCTCTACAGGAGGATGTGACTGCAAAGTCAATCAAACTCATGCCGTTATCGGATGTTTTTTTTTTCATGGAGGCGGAATTTTCCTACGGTGGGACCAAACAATTTGCCCTTCCAATTTTTGCATTAAAATCTCCTATCAGAATTTGACCACATACTGTTTCTAGGGGCTCGTAAAATATGTCTTCGGTCTTTGTAGAATAACTTCGCTTTTATACGTATTATAGCAATATGCTCATCTACTGTGGTGAATATGGAGACGAGGAGGAGAATACAATATCCTATTAACCATAAATCCGCAGGTCTGTTGTAGAAGAACTGCTTATCAAATAGCTACCCCAGGTGACACCGCGAGGATGTCAGTGTCCACAATTAAGATGGAAGAGGGACCGAGTTAAGACTGGACTTTGTCATGTTAAAGTCAATCAGAGCTGTTTCTTGGTATCTATCATCCCCTACATCACCCTATTAGGTATCTTCAAAATTTGTTCAAAATTTGTCGATATATCCACATTTAAAATATCTCAATTTTCTTCTCGTTTTTATTTGTTTATAGCTCAGGTCTCTACTGAATATAGTAATATAAAGCTTTTTTGCATATAGAGTCATTAAATGTTTTTCACTTTTAGAATCATGGTTACTATATAATACATTCTTCTGTTCCGAAATACTACTATTCCTCTGCCAGATTTACATTTTCACCGAAACATAACTCCCTGCTTTTTAAGGCCATCATGGCAATTATTACAACATAAAATTTTAAATTTCCCATTCAAATCGTTTAAGGCCAAATGTGCAAATGGTCCATTGAGTAGCATAAAACAGCGGGTAAAATTTGCGTCTGTGCCCTGCAACTGTTTCATATTCGCACACACGCACTCCATTCCATACTAAAATAAAGGGAGTTTAATTATAGTTGTAATTGTTTTTGTGTGGAAGTTTAAAAATAACCACAACGAAAACTGCATCAAAATTATTATTATTACAGATTCGTGTTGGTTTATTATAACACGTACGGCGTGTTGGGATATTTGTGTTTATTAGAGTGGATCGCGAATATGAATATTATTTTAAGTAGCATAAGTAAGGTTATTATTGGTATTTTTCCAGGTGGATGGGAAAAAAAGATATGCCATTATACAGCGAAGACCAAAAAAGGTTTTAATGTATTGTCTCTGACAGCTTCTTGATTTAAGCACTCCCTAAGTATTGTCCATTTCCCGAAAGCCTCGAAGTAACCTCTATTGCTAGCGATCACAAAACCTGGAGAAAATTCAAGGCTATAAAAGGTTTTTACGAATTATCGGATTTTTTGGATAATTTTCAACCTCTACAAATGCCTCATTGAATATTGAGAATAAAGATTCTACGAGTCTATCGATTGTAGATGGATACACTCCTCGATTTCTTCAATAGCTGGTACTCAATCTCAGGGTACCTGACGTCATTTCGAACTCTTCCTGATAATCTGAATCAAATGAGGCATTACTATAGATAACCATAGTGAGCTGATATGTGCCGCGAGTTCACCCATAAGAACTATAAAAATATGTTGAGGTGTCGGGTTAGTTGCCCACACTCGGAAAACCCCTCCTACTATGAAAAAGCAAAGGAAAAGAAAACCAAACCCCCTTAATGTTGACGGCCCCCGAAAACGTATAAAGGACCACGATCTGCGAATCTGCACTTGGAATGTGTGCACGTTGTACAGAACAGGCGCAGTTTTCGCTTTGGCGGATGTGCTCAAGAAGTACAAAACTGATATTATTGCCTTACAGGAAATGTGATTACGCACTGTATTAAATCTGCCATGAAACGAGACATTCATTTGGCTGCAGATTTTTGGTTAACAAGAGAATAAAAGACTCCGTCTCCAGATTCACTCCAGTAGATGAGCGAATTCCTAGAATCCGCATAAAAGCGAAGTTCTTCTACATCTTATTTGCGCCCATGCTCCGACCGAAGACAAAGATGAGCAGACCAAAAATATATTTACGAGCGCCTAGAAACAGCATATGACCGTTGCCCTGGACATGGAATTAAGATTCTGCTAGGAGATTTTAATGCAAAAATCGGAAAGGAAAATATCTTTGGCCCCATCGTCGGAAAATTCAGCCATCATGAAGAAACGTCCGACAACGGCTTGAGGTTGATTGACTTCGCAGCAGCAAAAACATGGTAGTTAGCAGCACCAGATTCAAGCATCTCGATATACACAAGGCCACCTGGATTTCTCCTGATCAAGCAACGATAACTCAAATTGATCATGTTGTGATAGACGGAAGGCATTCATACAGTATATTAGACGTTCGATCGATCCGAGGATCGAATATCGATTCGGACCATTACCTTGTGGCAGCCAAGGCAAAGGTGCAATCTAACACAACACGGAAACTCGACGTCGAAAAGCTGCAAACACAACAGGTAGCCGAGGCCTACTCCGCTCAACTTACCCAACTGCTTGACGAAAGCACTTCAATGACAAAGAATTGTCCACTCCATACAAACCGCAGAAAAAGCAACACTTGGGTACCAAAAACCACCATCAAGAAACCCATGGTACGATCAGGAGTTTCGTAATGCTACTGATGTGAAAAACGCAGCGTATAGGGCAACCCTGCAGACAGTAGCAATACGTAATGCGATGGAAAATTATCGAGAGAAAAGGAGAAAGGAATAATATGTTTCAGAAACAAATCAATCAAAGGTGACGGTATAGAGTGTATACCACCTAGCCAAGATGATGTCAGAATAGCAATTAATCGGTTGAAGAACAATAAAGCAGCAGGAACCGATGGGTTACCAGCCCAACTATACAAGGCTGGTGGTCAGATGCTGGTTAGGAGCATGCACTAACTGATTAGTACAATTTGGCTAGAGGAATGCATACACAATGACTGGAACCTCAGCATCCTGTGTCCCGCGCACAAAAAAGGAGCCAAGACGATATGTGCCAACTATAGAGGAATTAGTCTTCTTCCCATTGCATAAGAAGTGCTATCCAGCGTACTGTGTGAACGATTGAAGCCAATGGTCAATGACATTATTGGACCATATCAATGCAGCTTCAAACCTGGCAAATTCACCATTGATCAGATTTTCACTCTGCGCCAAATCCTGAAAAAACCCACTAAAAATATTCGTCGAGTATAAAGCTGTATTCGACAGCCCTATCCGTTCAGAGGTGTTTAAAGTCATCTCTGTGTTTGGCATTCCTGTAAAATTAATACGACTATGCAGGATAACGTTAACTGGCGCAAGGTCAGCAGTTGAAGTAGAAAGGGACCTATCGGAGCTCTTCAAAACCGAACGAAGATTCAGACAAAGTTACAGTTTGTCGCGTGATCTTTTTAACGTCCTGCTGGAAAAGGTCATACGAGATACAAAGGTGAACAGAAATGACACGCCGTACATCAAACAGCATGTGTTACTCGCCTACGCCGATGACATCGACATAATGGGTCGAACATTGCGAGCGGTAACAACCACCTTTGAACAAATTGAGAAGGAGCCTGAATTTGAGAAGGAGGAAGACCAAGCTGATGTTATCAACGCGCAAGACGTCTAGTAGACTCGGACCAACTGTGGAACATGAAAACTACATCTTCGAGGTAGTTAAGGATTTTATATTCCTTGGTACCGCAATAAGTAAAACGAATGACATCAGTTTTGAAAATCGGAGAATTGACCTAGGCGCCATATGTCCGAAATAGTCAATAAAATGTTTAAAAGGTAACATAATGTAAATATACCTCAAAAATTTCCCGTAAACAAGTTATCGTTCCCATAATTAACTCTTCATTTACAGTATAATCAGACTTAACTTAGATTTGGCATTTTGAAAAAAATCTAATCCATGCTAATTTTCCCTCTCCCCCATCTATTATATAACTTAAAAAAAAACTATATTTTATGAAATATTCCATGTGGAAAATATGCGAAATATATATTCGCTGTAATTTTTATACACTTACCGGATCTGTTTCATTTTCTTCCAATAGCTTTACACTCGGATCTGTGTCTTTAGCATCGCCAACAGCCGTGGCATCACCACCAGACGCATTTATATCCGCTTTTGATTTATTGTATACAAAACGTTCATTTACACCGACAGCGGCATGGGCCACCATAGGACACAGGAGCAGAGCGGCGAATAACAGGAACGGTAACCGGTGGTGTTGTGTTTTGGTCTTCATGGTGATGCTACAACTTGATCGTGGAGAGGAACACCAACTTTTATGGTTTATTTGAGGCATGCTAATATACAGCTCTGTATATTGTTGGTGTGTTTTTTGTTTGTTTGTTGTTGTTCTGCTGTTGTTTTTGTAGTTTAATAATTATCACAGTTGTTTGTTTTTATGGTTGGTGTTGAGTTTTGAGTTTCGTTTCGTTTCTTTTGTTTTTTGATTTTAAGATTCTTGTATTTGCTTACGGATGAATGTAACAACAAAAGATCTGAAAATAAGAAAAAAACAACAACAACAAACAATTAATGTTATGTCTGTGGTAGGTGGATGGGTATAAGAAGTTGATTTGTAGAGGAGATGCATGAAGAAGATGGATTTCGTTCGATATAGCTTGAAGCGTGGCTCAATGACCTACAAAAATTAACAACTAGATACAATCTTTATATTTAAGGTTTCTCGAATTTTAAGGATCCGATGCTTTAAGCCGTCATCCAACTAGAGTTGGACAATCTCGTTCCTGAAGCGGTTCGAAATTTGTTGGTTAGCTTTGCCATTCAGTTACTTCCACAGTCCTTTTTGTTCAAACATTCATTGGTAGATGTCAGTTAATGCGGCCAACGAAGGGGAATAAGTCTCCTTCCCATCGCATATAAAATGCTATCCAGCGTGCTGTATAAACGACTGAAACCAATGGTCAATGACATTATTGGACCATGCCACCTCAGACCTGGCAAATCCACCATTGACCAGATTTTCACTCTGCGCCAAATCCTTGAAAAGATCCACGAAAAACACATCGAAACATTTCACTAATTCGCCGACTATAAAGCCGCATTCGACAGCCCTATCCGTTCAGAGGTTTTTAAAGTCATGTCTACGTTCAGCCTTCCTGCAAATTTAATACGGCTATGTAAGAGCTATAAGTGGCACAAGGTGCCACAAGGAGCCCTTCAATACTGAACGAGGATTCAGACAAGGTGACAGTTTGTCGTGTGATCTTTTTAACATCCTGCTGGAAAAGGTCATACGAGACGCAAAGGTGAACAGAAATGGCACTCTGTACACCTGCAGTTAAAGTCGGAAAGGACCTATCGGAGCCCTTCAATACTGAACGAGGATTCAGACAAGGTGACAGTTTGTCGTGTGATCTTTTTATCTTCCTGCTGGAAAAGGTCATACGAGACGCAAAGGTAAACAGAAATGGCGCTCTGTACACCAAATCACACATGATACTCGCCTACGCCGATCACATCGATATACTGTGTCGAACATTGTTGCTCATTGATATCATAGGTCGAAAAATTGCGATCGGTAACAGCCACCTTTGAACAAATTGAGAAAGAGTCTGCCACAGTGGGTCTGGCAGTAAATGGCGAGAAGACCAGGCTGATTGTATCAACGCGCATGGCGTCCAGTAGACTCGGACCAACTGTGGAACTTGAAAACTACAGCTTCGAGGTAGTGAACGATTTTATATACCTAGGTACAAAACTAATAACGTCAGCTTTTTGAAATCCGGAGGAGAATAGTGTTGGCTAACAGATGCTACTATGGTCTGAGTAAGCGACTCGAAAGCAAAGCCACCTCTCGCCAGACCAATCTCACACTTTACAAGACACTGATACCACCCGTCCTGTTGTATGGACCTGAATCCAGGGTATTTGTGCAAGCAGATGAGGCAGCTCTTGGAGTGTTTGAGAGAAAAATTCTCCGAAAGATCTAAGAGATGATCTTTGTCGACGGTGAATATCGTCGTCGAATGAACCATGAGTTATACCATCTCTTTTCGGACATCGACATCGTCAGACGTATTGAGCTGCAGCGACTACGTTGGCTAGGTCATGTTGCGAAAATAGGTAAATATGCCCCCTCTCAAAAGACATAAAAATGCGAGCCAAGTGATGGTTCAGGAAGAAGAGAAAGGCCACGAATCCGATGGATGGAAGATCAAGTAGAAGACAACATCTCGGAACATGGTCTTTCAAAATGGATGAAATGTGCACAAGATCAACGAACTTGGAAATCCTTTTTAATCTCAGCTTATGGAGGAACCGTTCTGTCATAATTCAGCTAAGTAAATCTGAGCCTAGCCTCCGATATTAGATAGACTCTCTCGGCCTTATCAAAATAGACTCCTTTAGGTCATCCTTAAAAACTCTTTAGCTCGTCTGTAAAAACCTCCGTTCCGCGCGTCTATAATGACTCAGATAAACTTGTCTGTACAGATTAAAAAAAAATGCAACAAAGTCAAACGCCATAATTTTTACATCTTTTTTTTTAATTTTGTTGCTCTGCGGTATTTTGGCCCATTCCCGGCGAAGCGCTTGCTTGAGTTGATCGACACTTTGGTATTTTTTAATGCCAACCTTGCTTTCCAAAATACTCCAGACACAATAGTCCAACGGATTGTTATCCGGAGATTTTGGTGGCCATTGTGCGCTGGAAATGTAGCGTTCTGAATGCGATGGTGCTGAGTCCTGCTGGAATGTCCAAGGTCTGCGACCAAAATGTTTTTCGTAATTTATTCTGATGCCACGGACGATTAATACGAGCGGAGAGCGACCATCGGCTGTTCTGGCGGCCCACACCATTACAATGGCCGGCGCTTGAGTTATGTGGACAATCGAAGGTGCACATTTTCAGCTGCCAAAATGTATTTCGAAATTTATTCTGATGCCACGGTCGATTAATACGAGCGGAGAGCGACCATCGGCTATTATGGCAGCCCACACCATCACATGGCCGGCGCTTGAGTTCTGGTGGCCAACCGAAGTTGCACATTTTCAGCTGACCTCTTTGGCAAGTAAACACGATAATTTTGTTTACAAACTGCTTGACAACGAATGTTTTCTCATCGGAGAAACCCAACTTCGGCAGTTCACCACTTTCGGTCAAGCGAAGCAACTCTTTAGCTCTTTTGAGAGTCTATTTTCTTTTTGTTGTGGTGTAAGTTTTTGCACTTTTTGGAATTTCAATGGCATTACCCCGAGCTCAATTTTCAATATTTGTCGAATGGAATATCTATACAGGCTGTTAGACTCCCTTTCAGCTCATATATGACAGATCACATTCACACACGATCTATTAAATCTGATCAGATCTGAAAGCTTTTCATCGCATATAAAGAATCCCGTCTATAGGTACTTCTTTCAGACTTCCTAAGGCCGTATATAACAACTTTTTTAACTCATCTATAAAGACTTCCTTCAGCTCGTCTATAAATCCTAATAAATTACCCTTCCTTATCACACGAACCTCGTTCGTGCTGCATTCCGACTTGCAACTTGACTATTTTGATTTGACATATCTATGGGAACGCATTAACATGTTTCGCCGTCTAAATCCTCCACTCAACCTCCCATCTATAATTTATGATAACATGACAGTTATGCTAGATTTTTTTCTGGAGCAGATTAGGTGTGGATGTCGGTGATGAGGATGAGTTCCGTTTTTATTTAGACGAGGCTGTATGCCGAATGCTATGTTATCTACTATGATGTTGATATTGATAAACATACTTCGAGTAATAAATATATCAAAAGATATGGAACCTTAAAAACACATAGTGTGGGAGTGTGGGGTGGGATCCAACAGCAGGTGTTGTTGTCACCTCCATTACAGAGCGGCGGGGTAAGTAAACCACATATTTATGATTAATAAAAAAATAATAATTTGTGACTAAGTGCAATTTTATTTCAGGGGAATTTTCAGTTCAATTGACTAGAATGGGGTTTCGGAAAGAGGCCATTGCTTTACAACAGTTTTTTGATTGGAGTGGTGTTGCAGTCGTAATGGTGACGGAGTTGTTGTTGGTTAAGTCCATTTGCTTGACATTGATACAATATTTTTTGTGCGTTGTTGTGTCAGGCCCCTCTTATCATTAAGGTTAAATAAACTGAATTGATTGCGAAAGTAAACTAAAAAAAATCGGTATGAAGAACTACAACAACGAGTTCATTTACCAATAAATTGTTGGTTGTTGTAAAGTTTATAATAATATTAATTTGCATTGGAATTGCCAGCTCGTGGTGTGTTTCTTCTGTTGTCTCCGCTGCTTCTTTTTTCTTGTTTTTGCATTGGCAAAGTTTATTATTGTCGCTCCTTTTGCTGCAATCAATTCATTTGTTAACATAGACCAGATACACGATGTTGTTGCTACGGCTGCATTCTGGCGAGTAACTCAAGGGCACAGTGGTGAAATTTATTTGCCATATGGCACTTGAAATATGCAACTTGGCAAATAGTTTCAGTGAGTAATGTCGTGGGGAGGAGTAATAGCTTCGAGAATGTTCGACATATTTTTGCAGCGAAGGTGAGAACTAAATTTATAAAATTAAGCGATGGGAATATAAAACAAACACTTAGTGCTCTGATCAAGAAGCTTGCATCAATACCATAAGATATTTATATAAATATATCCGTATATAAACCTATCGGAGCCCTTCAATGCCGAACGAGAATTCAGACAAGGTGACAGTTTGTCGCGTGATCTTTTTAACATCCTGCTGGAAAATGTCATACGAGTGGCAAAGGTGAACAGAAATGACACTCTGTACACCAAACAGCATATGACATCGATATAATGGGTCGAACATTGCGAGCGGTAACAGCCACCTTTGAACAAATTGAGATGGAGTCTGCCAAGTGGGTGTGGCAGTAAACGGCGAGAAGACCAAGCTGATGGTATCAACGGGCAAGACGTCCAGTTGACTCGGACCAACTGTGGAACATGAGAACTACAGCTTCGAGGTAGTTAAATGTTTTGTGTACCTTGGTACCGCCATAAATAAATCGAATGACAACAGTTTTGAAATTGTGATGGCCAACAGATGCTACTATGGTCTAAATAAGCAGTTTAGCAGAAACAAGGTCACCTCCCGCCAGACCAAACTCACACTTTACAAGACTCTGATACTACCCGTAATGTTATATGGATCTGAAGCGAGCAGATGAGGCAACTCTTGAGGTGCTTGAATGAAAAATTATCCCAAAGATCTATGGGCCGATCT